GTAAATGATATACATATATCTAACAAATTAATTATGTAACTATCTACTTGATTCAAATCATTTCACTAGTTGATATCATGAGTCAATGGAAGTTAGACTGTCATGGTGTACCTGGAAGCATTGGATGGCTGTTTTGTCCTACTGGGAGACTCTTCCACCTTGACAGTGTGTATCCACGATCTTGCCCCCCCCCTATGAGATTCATTCATTAACTAACTAACTAATTGATTCATTGAAATGAGTTCTCTTCATTGAACTAACTGACTGTTAACTGGTCAACAATGAAACAATGATTGAACAATACACACACACACACATACACACACTCTCTCTCTCTCTTTCTCTCACTTCATTTACATAATTTATATTCGATTGAATAAATGCAAATTTATGTTTAATCAAAGCCAGTTAGTCACTAATAAATATACAGGGGCATTACTACTACTACTACTACTACTACTACTACTACTACTACTACTACTACTACTACTACTACTACTACTACTACTACTACTACTACTACTACTACTACTACTACTACTACTACTACTACTACTACTACTACTACTACTACTACTACTACTACTACTACTACTACTACTACTACTACTACTACTACTACTACTACTACTACTACTACTACTACTACTACTACTACCACTACTACCACTACTACTACTACTACTACTACTACTACTAACTACTACTACTACTACTACTACTACTACTACTACTACTACTACTACTACTACTACTACTACTACTACTACTACTACTACTACTACTACTACTACTACTACTACTACTACTACTACTACTACTACTACTACTACTACTACTACTACTACTACTACTACTACTACTACTACTACTACTACTACTACTACTACTACTACTACTACTACTACTACTACTACTACTACTACTACTACTACTACTACTACTACTACTACTACTACTACTACTACTACTACTACTACTACTACTACTACTACTACTACTACTACTACTACTACTACTACTACTACTACTACTACTACTACTACTACTACTACTACTACTACTACTACTACTACTACTACTACTACTACTACTACCTACTACTACTACTACTACTACTACTACTACTACTACTTACTACTACTACTACTACTACTACTACTACTACTACTACTACTTACTACTACTACTACTACTACTACTACTACTACTACTACTACTACTACTACTACTTACTACTACTACTACTACTACCACTACTACTACTACTACTACTACTACTACTACTTTACGACTACGACTACTACTACTACTCATCACATATATGATATGGACTATCATTCAACCATTTTCACAATAACATAGTTGATGTGTTTTACATAACCATTCATTATACAAATTGACTCATAGTTCAACTGAACTGAAGTTATGTGAATACATTTAGTTAAATAATTGTAAACAAAGGAGAAGAGGAAGAAGAACAAGAAGGAGAAGGAGAAGAAGGCAGAGAAATAGGGCACTTTTCTAACTTATCGTTTATTTATTTATTATTTATTTTAACACATAGATATTGGTACAAGGAGGTACTAAACACATATGGGCCACACAAATCTCATTTGATATGTATGAGGGGTGTGATACTGCCCGGATGCTTAGACCGATGCAGGTGGTTTTCTTAAGGGGCCACACCCGGAGCCTTCGACCTGAAGGTCTGATCCACAAGGCAGTGGAGCATCGTAAGGAGATGCGACACCATGGTAGCCGGTGACCAACCATTCGTTCATACGCCATTTGTTCCTTCAGGATACTGGAGCCGATGTGCTTTATTAGTTTGGAATCCGGTTAACGCGTCGGACATTTGCTTTTCGTCCTCTCATTTTCATAAACAACATCCCGACTGAAAGAAGGCAGTGAGTAGAACTTTCCTGGCAGTGGCGGCTGTATACGTGTAGCCATGTGAGAGCATTTTGAGAGGGAGAGACTAATCTCCCCACTCTCGGCCGTACCAAGGCATTGATTGTTTAATCGAAGAACGACAAATATGTTTATTTGCAAACACATGTGTGAGTGTGTGTATTCACATTAGATGTGTTTATTTTGTGTGGATTGATGATATATAAATAGAATAATTAAAACTTAGTGTCTAAGATAGCTTAGAGGTACGTATGAATGTTATTATGTGTGACTGAATCCGGAATTTCCTATGTATTGGTTCTACTATAGTGAACCACAACATAAGTGAGGACAGTCGAATATTTTTGAACACAGAGTGACACAATCACTTAGTAAAATCTGAGAACTATACAGTAAATACTTGAATTGCACAACGTCAATCAATGGTCTCAGATTACATTGTTTTTACTTATCCACACCAATCATTGTCTGCTAACGTTATCATTTCTTCGGTCTTTTTAAGCTTCTTCCTTCAGGTATTTCAATTTCGATTGATAGGAGTAGGTTGGAAGAAAGCTAGGGGAGGCCAGATCAAAACATGACACAAATCCATGAAGTCACTAACAAATGAACTGAGTGAGCCATGTTGGTAGGTTTAGACTACCTGGTTCCGGGGATCCGCGAGATGATAGCAACCGATGGTTAGAGATCTTGAATGACATGGCTCAAAATGGTTTGCAATGGTACAGGTGCATCCACTCTTTGTTTGCTCTCAAATTCTAGTCTTCTGAATTCTTCATGTCCTTTATTTTCTTTCCAAATCTATTCCATTGGACTATACTCCTTAAATAACATCTTCAAACCCTAATGTTCCTTATCACTACTTATACTTTTACTACCTCTACCACAGTGGGATTTGAATCGACAACTACATCTCTGTGCTAATGTGGTATGGCAACTTGAACTTACGTACGTGCGTACATACGAAGTTCTACGTTGTTAATGACTGACTGACTGAGTGACATACTACTTCTATCTGTCGACATCAGTAGCATACATCATACTACATACTATATTATACAACCACTACTCATATGTTATAGGTGTTTGTTTTCATTTCCTTCTCAATGGAAATTCGTCATAAGCTACAAAACTCTATAAGATGTAATAGAATGAATTTATGTCATTCTATTTGAATTCTTTGTTCATCTTCCTTTGATAATGAGAGAACTATTTGTATGTAACTTGTGATAGTATTATGATGTGCACTACTTATACAGACAGATAAGTAATATGTGGCAGTTATTGGAAGTGGAATGCTTACCAATAGAAGAGTGAAAGAGAGAAGAAGAAGAAGAAGAAGAAAGAAAGTAAATGACGAACAGTCGGAATAACAACAGGATTGAAAGAATGATGAAGTAGGTAAAAGACAATTGAATGAAGATATGCAATATAATGTATTCTTTCACTAGTGTTACGTAACCTTACTACTTAGGTTTATCTTAAATGATTACGGTTAGTTACTCAGTGAAGAAGTTTGTGAAGGATATATTTTCAGATTTGGTCGTAACAAACTAAGTTATTGGTATTTGAAGCTAGGTACTTGATTCGAATCCGAATGTGAATATCAACTTTGTATATCGATTTGACGCATAAACCAATTGTTAGCCATTATCGAAATATAGATTAATACTAATTATAGTAACTCCGCCTAGAGTCCCTTTCCGGGGGCTACTGCCGGTCCCGAGCCCGGATAAAGGAGGAGGGTTGGGCATGGGGTTAGCGACCCCATCCCGTAGAAAACTAACTCGCTAAAAAAACGCTAACCAGAAAAAATTATTCAAACCTAATTATAGTAGTGATTGGAATGTGCTTTTTGTTTGACTTGGTCAACTGGATAAACATCTCCTAGTTACTATTATATTTTACTTAAAAGTACTTGTGAATTACATTCATTATTAAGGGTATCCACTCAAAATGTACATATTCCATAAAACAAAATTTTCTTTATTTATCTATTTGAATAGATAAATAATGGTAGAAAGGGACACCGAATACATATACGCCACACAAGTCACTTCATATGTGTATGTAGTGTGGTACGGTCTGACCTTTCAAACTAAGACAGATGGTTTTCTTATTAGGCCACAAGCGGAGCCTTCGACCTAAAGGTTTGATCCACCAGTCACTGAAGCAACGTCAGGGGATACAGTTCCATGGTAGCTGATGGCCAACACGATGTTCATGCATCATTTGTTTCCTTAGGATCCTCGAGCCCATATACACCATTGATTTAGAATCAGGGTTTTTCCAACTCCCCTAGATGGATCCTCTATATCCACCGAAACGGTTAAAGCGTCGGACATTCATCTTTCATTTTCTCATTTTTGTAAATAATAGAAATGCTATGAAAAGGCAATCAGTAGGAATTTCCTATCAGTGGTTGTATGCATGTGGCCATGTGAGAGCATTTCGATAGAGGGAGAGAGAGAGAGAGATAGCTGACTCTCCCCACCCTCAAACGTACAAATTAAATAATAACGAAATTATATATATATATTAAATGGTGGTTGGAGATAGTCGACAGGAAACCTTGGACACAGGTTTCGTGTTACTTGGCACTCGTCAGCAAGGTGTACCTGTAATCTTGAAGGAACTGGTGCTCTCTGATGGATTCGATCTAGTGTCATCCAGCTTCACAGTCAAAGACGTTACCACTGAGATATAATCACAATGGATTGATCACTGGGTTGTGATCAATGTCATGCTTGTCTAGTCCTTATTAGTGCAGATCAAATGCTATCGACCATGTTGTACCAGTTTCTCTCAAGAATACAGATACACCTTGTTGACGAGTGTCAAGTAGCACGAAACTCGGATCCAGGCTTACCTGTTGACTACCTTCAACCATCATTTAATCTCACAATAGTGCCTACAGTGTCAAGTCACTTAGACTGATGACAACATTGCAACATGATCGATAACATTCGATCAGCACTAATATTAACGATTAGACACACATGACATTGATCACCACTCAGTGATCAGTCAATATGTGATATATATTTATAGACAAATTCATACTAAAATCTATCAACTTTACTTACTATTTCCACATAGCAACAAATCAGTTTCCATCGTTGGTAAAGTTTTACATTTTTTCGTTGTATTTAAATGATGTTTTAATTGTAAACTTTTATTATTATTATTATTATTATTATTATATTTAGATAATATTGATGATAGAATACTGGAAGTTTTTTCTTTTTTCTTTATAATTGACATATTAGAAGAGAATGGTGTCATGTGATTTAATGAATTATTTAGTTTATCATAACTTGTAAATATTGAATAAATATCAGACATGGATAATTGATGTTGTGATTGTTGTTCCCGCTGATGTTGTTCTCGTTGTTGCTGTGGCCATTGTTCTCGTTGTTCTTGTTGCTGTCCTCCTTGTTGTTGCTGCGACCCTTGTTCTCGTTCTTGTTGTTGTTGCCGTTGCTGTGGCTGTTGGTCTCGTTGTTGTTGTTGTTGTTGTTGCTGTGGCCATTGTTCTCGTTGTTCTTGTTGCTGTCCTCCTTGTTGTTGCTGTGACCCTTGTTCTCGTTGTTGTTGTTGCTGCCGTTGCTGTGGCTGTTGGTCTCGTTGTTGTTGTTGTTGTTGTTGTTGCTGTGGCCATTGTTCTCGTTGTTCTTGTTGCTGTCCTCCTTGTTGTTGCTGTGACCCTTGTTCTCGTTGTTGTTGTTGCTGCCGTTGCTGTGGCTGTTGATCTCGTTGTTGTTGTTGTTGCTGTCCTCCTTGTTGTTGCTGTTGCTGTCCTTCTTGTTGTTGAGTTATATCATTGCAATCATTAGTTAACCAACTTTTATCTATATCTGATTCATTGATCATATCATTAATATATTTTGTTATCATTATCTTATCATTATTTAATCTATAATCTATATCAATTTCATCAAGATTAGTAATTATTTGATGATGATCATCTTCTAAACTTAATATACTTAATGTAATTGATTGTAATGATATTTCATCTATTGATTTTGAACTTCTTTCATTGATTTCATTGAAATGATTCATACAGTGATTTTCATTGAATGATGATTCTTTTAATGTATAATATTGTATATAAGAAGATGGTATCTTAATTTCACTGGTAGGGATTCCACTTAATGTGATTGATTTTTCTTTATATTGGTTACTATGGTAACTATGTTTAGATTTTTTCTTTTTAAATTGTTTCATTGTCCAATTGTTTCTATGCGGATGAAATTTTAATAATTTTGATAATGTTATCTGTTTTAAAGAGAATATTGATTTTAATGATTTATCATTTGTTTTAGAATGATATATTGTATGAGAAAAATATGGTTGATACCATTGAAAATGATGATGATTGAATATTGATTTTTTCGATAGATTATTGATTGATGAATGATGAATTGATTCAGTCATGATTATTATTATTATTATGATTATGATCTTGTTTTAATGTTATATTGACTTAGTGACATAATTAGTTGCTTAGTTACTAACACCTATTATTCCCAATAGAGTATAGATTATGATAAATGGATCAATATTAGATATTGTGAAGAAATGTAGTTGTCAAGGGAATGTTTGTTTTGAAGATCCAAGTTATATATGAACAAGTAATGAAAGGAATTCATGATTGAATGTTAAACTATAGATTCATTGATGAGTTTTGATGATCGATTAGCATGAAAGCTATAAATAATACGAAAAAAAGAAATCAATAAAAGAAATGATAAATCATTCATTATTCATAAAGAAGATAGGTTAAAGGGGGAAAAATGAATCAAATGAAGTTGATTAGAGAGTTACTTACTTACTTACTTACTTACTTACTTACTTACTTACTTACTTACTTACTTACTTACTTATGCCTGTTACTCCTCGTGAAAGAGCATAGGCGGCCGCTCACTAGCATTCTCCATCTAACCTTGTCCTAGGCAATCCTTTCCAACTCTTTCCAGTTCTTAATCATCCTTTTCATATTCGCTTCTATTTCTCGACGTCATGTGTTCTTTGACCTTCCAATTTTCCGTTTTCCTTCAAGATTCCTAGTTAGGGGTCGTCTCGTGATGCAGTTTGATAATTTCTTCAATGTATGTCCTATTCATTTCCATCGTCTTTTCCGAATTTCTTCTTCCGCTGGAAGCTGATTGGTTCTCTCGCACAAAAGGCTGTTGTTGATGGTATCCGGCTAATGGATGTTGAGTAACTTGCGTAGACAGCTATTGATAAATACTTGTATCTTCTTGATGTTGGTTGTTGTAGTTGTCCACGTTTCAGCTCCTTACAGTAGAACTAACTGTATTGACGTTCGTATTAAAGATTGTGACTTTGATATTGGTTGATAGACAGTTATTTTGGGTTTCATATGTTCTTCGATTGGAGGAATGCTATCCTTGCTTTGCCAATCCTCGCTTTTATGTTTACATCTGAACCTCCTTGTTTATGGACGATCCTTCCCAGATATGTGAAGGATTCTACATCTCCCAGAGTTTCGCCATCAAGAGTGATTGGATTGTTGTTCTCCGTGTTGTCGAACAAATGCAGATAAAGACAGCCAGCATAGCAGCAGTCTCTGCATCAGTAGGCCTCAACATACACAAAGGGAAAACCAAGGTCCTCAAATACAACACGGAGAACAGCAATCCAATCACTCTTGATGGCGAAACTCTGGAAGACGTGGAATCCTTCACATACCTGGGAAGCATCGTCGATAAACAAGGAGGTTCAGATGCAGACGTCAAGGCGAGGATTGGCAAAGCTAGAGCGGCATTCCTTCAACTGAAGAACATATGGAACTCAAAACAACTTTCAACCAATATCAAAGTCACAATCTTCAATACCAACGTCAAGGCAGTTCTACTATACGGAGCTGAAACTTGGAGAACTACAACAACCACCATCAAGAAGGTACAGGTATTTATTAATAGCTGTCTACGCATGATACTCAACATCCATTGGCCGGATACCATCAACAACAGCCTTTTGTGGGAGAGAACCAACCAGCTTCCAGCGGAAGAAGAAATTCGGAAAAGACGATGGAAATGGATAGGACATACATTGAGGAAATCATCAAACTGCATTACGAGACAAGCGCTAACTTGGAATCCTGAAGGGAAGCGGAAAAGAGGAAGGCCAAAGAACACATTACGTCGGGAAATAGAAGCAGATATGAAAAAGATGAATAAGAACTGGAAAGAGCTTGAAAGGATTGCGCAGGACAGGGTTGGATGGAGAATGCTGGTGAGAGGCCTATGCTCCTTCACGAGGAGTAACAGGCGTAAGTAAGTAAGTAAGTCTCCGTGTTGTATTTGAGGACCTTGGTTTTCCCCTTGTGTATGTTTAAGCCTACTGATGCAGAGACTGCTGCTATGCTGGCTGTCTTTATCTACATGTGTTCGTGTGATTAGGGAATACCTGACAATATACCAGTTGAAACACTGAAGTTACACATAAACATAACTACATATATGTTTCATATTTCTATTGAAGAAGATTTATAAGGAAGAGCCTATGCTACAAACAGACTAAAAAGATACCAAAAAGAAAAGAAGATCTGACCAAGTGTGTTAACTATAGAAGCATCAAAATGCTATTAGAATCAGCAGAAGATTTTATTTGATGTTGTTGAACTAGATGAAAGATTTAGTAGACGCTAAGCTTCCAAGTTAACAGGATGATTTCCGTGATGATCGGTCGTATATAGACTGAATCTTTAAACAATCAATTGAATGGAACTTGTCACTATATATCAACTTCATTGACTATAAGAAGGTTTTTAACAGTGTGAATAGGAATAATTTATGCAATCTTCTTCAACACTATGTAGTAAGTAGCTAAGAAAATCGTCAACATCATATAAAACTCATAAGCTTCTTATCATGTCTTGACAGTCATTAGTTTATGACGTCGATAGCTTCTAAGCTGAGCCATGTTGATAGATGCAAACCAGTTGGTTAGGGTCAGTGTAATTACCGTAATCAATGGTTGAAGACTCTTGGTGACATGGCTTAGAATCTATCACAATGACGTCGGTGTATACACTCTCTGTCTTCCTTTAAACTATAAGATTAAAATCGCTTCATATCATTCTACAAACGAATTCTATCTTCCTGTACTATATGCTTATATGCAATCTTTCTTCTATATATTACTACCTTTCAAGCGACTACTTCTAGGATTCCGGTGTTCACCTTGTTGTGCTAATGCGGTATGACGACTTGGACCGATCCATTTATGGGCCTGGTCTTACGCTGTAGCTGACTGACTGACTCGAAAGTAATACATATATATTTACAATTGAATTTATAAATCAATATCAGTTATCATCATAATAAATCGGAATACAATAACAGTACGGGCCAGATAGAGGACAATTAAGTCTGATTACATAAGAATGAAGATGTAAATGAAGTGAACATTATGGTTTAAGAACTAGTTAATGATCATTATTATTTATTTATTTATTTTAACACATAAGTATAGGTACAGGGAGGCACCAAATACATATGCGCCACATAAATCTCAATTGATTTGTGTGAGGGCTGTGATACTGACCGGGTGCCCAAACCGAAACAGATGGTTTTCTTAGGGGACCCCACAATCGGAGCCTTCGATCTGAACGTCTGATCCACAAGGCAGTGGAGCATCGTGAGGAGATGCAGTCCCATGGTAGCCGGTGACCAACGATTGGTTCATACGTCATTTGTTCCTTCAGGCAGGATACTGGAGCCAGTTCATGTGCACCATTGGTTTGGGGTCCGTTTAAAGCCGGTGCCGGACATTCGCTTTCCGTCCTCTCATTTTCGTAAACAATACCCGTGGTGCGAGAAGGCAGTGAGTAGGACTTCCCTTGCAGAGGCTATATACGCATGGCCATGTGAGAGCATTTGGAGAGGGAGAGCGGACTCTCCCCACTCTCGGCCATACCAGGGCATTTGGGGGCATCAATGATGGTGTTATTAGGGATACCTATTGAAAAACATTAAAGAGGAACAATGATGTATTTGTTAAATGTCAGCGAAAGAATTTGAAGTAAATCCAACGTTTTGTTTGACAATCTGATGCAGGCTTTTTCAAGGAAATACATTCTTCCTCATGAATGTCTCATATGAAATCGGTGCCTAAATACTGTGAAACTAATCGATCAAATTTAGATAAAAGTTCTTGTTTAAAAAAAAAGTTATGTCTACAGATCAGTTGCTCAACTTCCCGACCAACAGGCAGGATTCCGTAAGAATAGATCGTGTACAGACCAAATCGTAACTCTACGGAACATTGTAGAACAATCAATTCGATGATATTCATCACTGTATATCAACTTCATTGACTACGAAAAAGCATTTCATAGCATGGACAGAAAAACCCTATGGAAGCTTCTTCGACACTACGGCGTACCTGAAAATATAGTCAATATCATACGGAATTCCTACGATGGATTAAACTGCAAAATCGTTCATGGAGGACAGTTGAAAAACTCGTTCGAAGTAAAGACCGGTGTCAGGCAACGTTGCTTACTCTCACCGTTTCTCTTTCTCCTAGTGACCGACTGGATCATGAAGACGTCAACATCTGAAGGGAAGTATGGGACATGGTACACATCTAGGACGCAGTTGGATGATCTAGACTTCGCAGATGATCTGGTTCTTCTATCGCACACACAATAACAAATGCAAGAGAAGATGAACAGTGTAGCAGCAGCCTCAGCAGCAGTAGGTCTCAATATATACACAGAGGGAAAAGCGAGATTCTTCGATACAACACAGCATGCACCAATCCAATCACAATTGACAAATAAGATTTGGAAGATGTACAAACCTTTACATATTTGGGCAGCATCATCGATGAACATGGTGGATTTGATGCAGATGTGAAGGCACGGATCGGCAAAGCAAGAGCAGCATATTTGCAACTGAAGAACATCTGGAACTCAAAACAATTGTCTGTCAAATAACACCAAAGTTAGAATTTCCAAAACAAATGTCAAGAGAGTTCTACTGTATGGGGCCGAAAACTGGAAAACTACGAAATCCATCATCCAGAAGTTACATGTGTTTATTAACAGTTGTCTATGCAAAATACTTCAGATCCGCTGGCCGGACACTATTAGCAACAACCTATTGTGAGAGAAAACAAATCAGATCCCAGTGGAGGAAGAAATCAGGAAGAAGCGCTGGAAGTGGATAAGACACACATTGAGGAAAGCACCGAACTGCGTGAAGTCCTCAAGGTCGAAGAAGGAGAGGAAGACCAGGGAACATATTACGTCAAGAAATGGAGATAGACATGAGGGAAATGAACAAGAAATGGATGGAACTAGAAAAGAAGGCCCAGGACAGAGTGGGTTGGAGAATGCTGGTCGGCGGCCTATGCTCCATTTGGGGTAACAGGCGTAGGTAAGTAAGTACAGATCAGTTAGTTACTCAGTTTATGAGCATATAAAC